GTCCCAGCCCCTCTCTAGCAGTCTTGACATTATCTCGCAAGGTGGGCGAGGTTTTAAAACCTTGCCGCAAGCCACGATATCGACCGTCTAACAACGCCTCGATCGAATCTTCAAAGGAGAACTTAACAGCGAGGATTGGAAGAAGGTAAGTGTATTAACGTACTTAGTACAGCGTACTTAAGGCCAAAAAGGACCACACGCGTATGCACAAAGTCGGACTGTAGTCGCACCAATGCAGTAGTGTCCTTGAAGGGTTAGCATGCTGACTGGCTTTCCGGCTCATCGGAGTGGTTGGACAGAGCACACACCTTGGCAGCTTGTGCGATGTCATCACGCGCATGGCCCATGGACCGATCGATGGTGAGACGCGGTAAGAGTCATCAGATCGGCGTGCAAGCGAGTCGGTTAGGTCTGCTCTTAACACGAGGTGGAGGAGAGAGCGCGCTTGAGGTCGCTGCGTATGCCTCACTTTGAATTAATTCGCGAACGAATCACCCACGCCGCGGTACACATGTTCTCCCTTGAAACTCGAACTGCCGTGTGTGCTTGAAAAACCTCCCTTCTTGACACCCCCTTACCGGTAGTAATCTGCCGAGCGCCCGCAGGAGGTGTGGGACAATGTGCATAAGAAACGCAAGTGGCTAGCTTATTTTATTGTTTAGTTTAATTAGTTTTAACTTAGTACAGTTTAGTTAGTTTGGTTTAATTTAGGTTTATTAGTCGATTATGTGATTGGTTTATTTATTTTCCTTCCCCCCATATGCGCCAGCCATATAACCCCCATAACAACTGGTCCCGTATTAAGCAACCTTTGAGTGTTTGCTACTGCGGTGTGCCGCTATGCGCCCAGTCTAATTTTTGCTCGTCTGAATTTTCATTTTGGCATTTTGATTGGGTCGAAACTGTGTTTCAAAGACATGTTCGATTGAATGTCTTGCCCCAGTGAACTTTGCGAAATAGAATCAGAAAATGTGTTTTTTTTCTCTATCGAATGCTTTCACCGTCTTTTCTTTCGCCATCCTTGAATTATAATCCTCAAGTAAGCAGAAAGTTCAGGGACGCACGTGCCGTTCGGCCTCCGGACCCCGAGATGCTGGAGAAATCCCGCATCCTCCGCTCCAAGGAACGTCGGATGCATGATATGTTGCGCGAGTTCCTATTTTTCTTCATCTTCTTCACACTGCTCGTGATAGTCTCAAATGGATTCCGTGATCCACAAGCTACGAACGTTCGGGAGGGGCTGGGGCGGTTATTTTTTCCAGACAATTTCTCACAGGTAAGACTGAGGTCGTCCTCTTCTCCAAATCTGCTACCTCTGTCACCTAACCGTCCATTCTATGCACCTCGTTCCCTTCAGATAAACTCGATCAGTCACTTCTGGCAGTGGGTACGGGAATACCTCGTTCCAGGTCTGCGAGCACAGAGATGGTACAATGGAGAACCTCCCATTGGTCTTCGGGGATTCTTAGCCGACCGTGTTAGTCGAATAATGGGTTTTGCTACTATGCGCCAGTTAAGGACCCGAGAGGGTAAGTATCTGATGAAAATGCGCGGTACACTCCATTTTTTCCTTACGGAGAGGTTAAACTTCAATCTGATTTTCAAAATTTAAACCGTTTATGAATCAAAGAACAGTTGCAGTTCACCATAGATAACTGCATTTAACTTGTTAAACGGTTACTACACCATATTGCCGGCATAGACAAGAGAGACTGGAATGGCTATTTATTATTTATTGGCTGTCGTCAGGCAGTCATACTCAACCCCAAATGGTACACCAACCGAGGCTCAAACTTGCGACCTTATTGATCAGAAGTCTAACCCTCGAGCTACGAGATTGTTGTCTCAATCGCCATTTTGGTAACCGCATGCGTGTATTTTTAAGGATTACCGGTGGGGCTTTTTATAGCCCTATTCATGTACAGTTGGGATTATGAATGAAATTATATACAACCGGCAGAAAATAAAGCCATTGCGATATTTAGTGAAATAGTTTATATCAGAACGTATAGCAGTACGATAACCACGGAATGAAAGCTGGAAATGGAGTTCATGGTTGGCTGTACATAGACCTGAAGTGAGAGTCGTTGAGTATCAAACATTTCACAAACCAACCGTTTCATGAACACAATCATGATATCAGAACTCACGTTTACGCTTTTGAACGGAAATGTTTAATCGTCACTTCGGAAATGGTACCTCGGCCTATTGGAGATAGGTCAGTATGGTTGAGTATATGTAGGGTAATGGGCGATGCCTTTGAAGACTTCATTGAAAATTGTATGCAAATATAGCCGGCATAAAATACAGAAAAGTGAATATGCTGTTGCTAAACATCGAGTAGCATATACACACGTACACTTTTTAACTGTTAAATTTACACATAGTCATCCTAAGGATCGTAGATAAAATTTTCGAATATCGGATATGACTTTCGTCTGTAAGCGAGAGCAAAGCGTTTGTATGTTCAAATATATTTAATCGTCTAACCGTCTAACCGTTTATTGGAGCAAAGCGCAAAGACATTGATTACTAGGAATACACTTCTGCATGATTTTGCTGGTTTGTGCCAAGGTCAGTCAGTCAGTCAGTATATTTGAGGGAAAAATAGGCTAAGCCTTGAACTCCCCATTTTGTCACATCAAAATCTCAAGAATTATAAACAATGTTAAGAAGTTTTCAGTTAGAAAAATTTAGACAGGCAAAAGGGTACAGTGGTGTTTCTAGGCTAATTTGTCACACTGTTCCCGTCACATGGTGCAGTGGTGTTTCAAGGTTAATTTGTCACATAGTTCACGGATGTTGTAGCATGTGTATATCAAGTCGGTGTTTGAATGTCTCCACAGATTGGGACATAATAATCGCCTCGGGAAGGTTATTCCATGGGTCCACGACCCGATTAGAGGAAAAATACTTCCTCACATCCAATCGTCCTTGGGGCACATACGGTTTGAAAGGATGCCCCCGGAGATTAGTTGTGGTGGCGAGTTGGAAAGAGTCGTCACACATGAGAGCACAGTCCAAGCCACGCACGATACGGAAGGTTTG